TTTTTATATAAAGCAGCTGAGATGCACAAGAAAGGAGCGATTGTACGACGATGTAAATAATTCCCTCTTGTCCTATAGTCCTGATTACCCTCTGCTGACACGATGTAACTTGTACCAGATGTGTTTTACCATTAACTGGGAATTGCTGTGCCTGTGCACTGCTCTGTTTCGTGCACCTGTTCTTCAAACTGTGTGGCTGTATTGCAGTTGTTTTTTTTCATGTGCTCTGAGATATTGCTGATGTATTGAAATGTGCAAGGAGCATTTTACTCCTAGCCTTTACTTCAGCATTGCATCCATAGTCATTTCTTGTTAATGTGCTACTCAGAATTCAGAGAGAAACTCATTTTGCTGATGCGTTTTCTTGTATCTCTGTCTTGCCATCTGATGAAATTTGTGGCATTAAATTGATTAATGGGTAACACTGATTACTACAAATATTTACAGAAGCTGAGCAGAAAATCACCTCTGGTTTACTTCCACATTTACACTTACCTTTCAAACTGAACACAACTAATGCTTTCTTAAAACAATCCTCATACTTCTTCTATGCCCAAATGAGGTCATTAATAGGTGTGGAAATGTTCTTACTTAAAATTCTCCCATTTTGAAAGGGTTGAGCTATTCTGCTGTATTCTTAATTCAGTTTTTAGCTGTCCTGGGCATTCCTACCTGTTGAATTAACACACAGCCACAGGAAGCAGAGAAGCAGATTCTCCAGTTTCAGTTAGAAATTTGGGTGGTGGTCAGCCTGTGACACATCCCCAGCATGGCATAATGTTGGGGCTGTGTTCATTTAATCCCCCCAACCTGCTATTGCTGCCTTGCACCTCTTCCAAGAATAGTTTCTTCAACAAATACTTGACTAGTTTGAAATTGGCACATTATCTTGTATAATATAAGTGATTTATTTTATACACATGGTTGTTTCAGTGCTTGCAGACTGTGTGCAACATTGGCTGCCCCAGGCTGCAATGGAGCTGCTGGATCGTAGCTTCCAACCAACCAAAGGACATCCAGGATCTTTAACACCTTCAGACTGTTAATGCAGACACAGAATGACGTTGGTTTGTAAATTGAAGGATAGATTTTTATCTTTTGAAGTGATTTTCTGGCCCTTACAGCTATCTGGGAAGAGTGGGGAAGCCTCCAGGTGTTAACTAAGTAATAAGTCAATGCAGTGCTATCTTTACATGTATATGCATCACTCCGTGTGCCTGCATTACTTCTCCTAGATTTGCCAACCTGCAGCAAAATAAATTAGCCCTATGTCTGCCAGTTTTCAGATATAATACTGATAACTTGGTGGGCAGCAGTGAAACTGGTTCTTAAAAGGAGAGTGGATCGTTGCTGGTTGTGGGGTGCCCCAAAGAGCCTTTCCATCCCCCTTCTGGGAGCCAGCAGAAACAGTGCAGACAGAAAGAATGAGCAGTTCAGTGTACATCTGTGGAGCTGGCAGCCTATTTCTGACCTCAGGCAAACAGCTGTAGGCCACGCAGGGGTCAGGAGCTTCCAGGGAGCCTTGATATGCAAGAATGGCTGTGCTACCACTTGACTGACTTAGAAAGGGTGGATGAGCAGTAATTTCTCTTTACATCACTGTCTGCTTTTGGTGGATGCTTGCCAGCACACAAATCACACAACCTGAATGCACATCGGACTAAAATCTGAGATACCCAGACTTCAAGCTGGCTGCTTTCAGAGGCCTCCCTTTGCCCTAAAGGACATGTAATTTAAGTTCATTAACCCCTCTGAATATTGAACTTGGTCTTTACTGATTTCAAGGCATCAGCTGAGTCAAAGTTGAGGCAGGCAGTGTTCTCTGTTAGAAACTGGTCTATTTTTAGTCCAGAGAGCATGAAGAAATGTGTTTTTCTTCAGAAGCAGCAGAAGCGTTATGTGAAGTGTTATTCCCACAGACACAGTGCTTCCTCCACCCGTGTGTGTGTGTATATATGTGTGTGTATGTGTGCTTTCTTTCTGGGTGTGAGCTTTGATATTGGTAGGCTTGCAAACATTTCTCATGCAATCTTCGATTACCAAACATTGCATGCGCCTCCTGAGTTTGTTCTGTGCTCATAATGGTCATTCCTTTTTTTTGTTTGTTTGTTTTAATGTCTTGAATCTCCAAAAAGCAACTTTGAAGCTTTAGATTGAGGGTGGTGAGGCACTGGAACAGGTTGCCCAAGGAGGTTGTGGATGCCCCATCCCTGCAGGCATTCAAGGCCAGGCTGGATGTGGCTCTGGGCAGCCTGGGCTGCTGGTTGGTGACCCTGCACATAGCAGGGGGTTGGAACCAGATGATCCTTGTTGTTCTTTGCAACCCAGGCCATTCTATGATTCTATGATCCCATCTATGTTTTAATGAGAATGTTCTTTGCTCTCATTTGTAGTATGGCTGAAATTCATTCGGTGAGCCCAAGCTGTTCAGCAGCTTTGAAAACGAAATGGATTCCCCCTGTAAGGTTTCTTATGTTTGGGATTAGAAGAAAAAAAAAAACAAAACAAAAAAACAAGTTCTGTTGCAGGATTTTTTCACGGTATTTGAACTGCTGCCTCTCAGAACTGTCAGCTGCCCAACAGTGCATTGTTTGTGTTTGATGTATGAGGAGGGCTTTGCTTTACCAGCTGTTTGGCTGCTAAATAATTTTGTTCGAAAGTTGTGGGTCCCTCGAGGGTGGCAAGCAGTGCACTGAAAGCGAAAGTAGGTTAAGGTGCCTGCAGGCTGAAGTGGTTTTCAGACCCAGAAGCTTTGATAACTCGTAATCTGCCCTTCTTTTAAAGCTGTTTTTTGAAGTGGTAACGTGTTCATACAAAGTGGTGTATTGTATTGAATGTGCCATAAATGGGCACAGATGAAATGATGGCAGACAAATATTTCAGCATTAATGGGGGGAGGTTGAAGTTAAAGCTTCCTTCTCACTATGAGATTTTGCTTTTTCTGGCTGTGTAGCAGCAGAATTGGGTAGCCTTCCCAAACTCTTCCTGCAGTTTGTGAGAAATGCTTAATGTGCCCAGGAAGTAATCAGGTGTGGTTTTCTATGCAACATAGTGATTTTTTGGGAGCAGCTGAATAATTTATTAAATGTTGTCAGAGAAAAGCTGAACAGTGGATTGCATCGTGCCCACTGCTTTTAAGCTCCTTCCTGGGTATAGGATTGTTAATTCTGGCTTGCAATCACAGCCAGCTTATTTGGTTATTTACTAGCATTTCCATCCAAACGTTACTTGTGATCACAAGCCAAAGTTAACAGCCCCATCTCCACGTATTTCCTGGCCCAGCTGGGCTTGGCTCTCCTCCTCCTCCCTCACCTCTGCAGCTGGGAAGCTGCAACTGGGAGCCTGCTGGGCAGGGGAGAGCAGGAGCATCAGGAGCAGACCCTGCTGCTGGGGTGCTTGTGAGTCTGCCTGCAGGGTTCTTGCTGAGTGCATTTGGAAATAGTGAGAGTTGTTCAGGAGTCTTTTTAACTAGCTGCAGGCTTGTAATCAAGTAACTGCTTGTTGGTAAGTCACTTTCCCTAGTGTGTTATTTCACAAAGATTAGGGCAAGGTTCAGTGTTTTTTATTATTTGAACAACTGAGACCATTGGTAGGTTTATTTCCTGTTCAGTTAAATTCATTTTGAAGGGGGAAATTTTTGTTGGAGCAGCAAGCTTAAAAGTGCAATATATAAAAAAATTGTGTGAAAACATGTTTGGAAGGAAGTTACTGCATTTGTTGTGTGGTGGGTAACTGAGAATGAAGTGGAAGGAAATTTATCATAAAAATTCATGTCTGTATTACTGCTTCAGATTGATTGTTTTTCATTACTGCACCAAGAATAATAAAAATCAGAGTACGAGTCTGCAAGTGTAAATGTTTTATTCCTGTCTGCTGCCTGAAGTTTCTAACATGAAACTCAGTGAGATTTTCAGGCCCTGATAACGGGAATTCTGTTTTCTTCATACTTAGAGAAGGTCCCTAAAAGAAAACATAAGTGATGATCTCCTCGTGGGATCTGTCCCAGTCTCTCCTTCATTAACCTCTGCATCCTGTAGTTTCAAGTCCTGTTTGCGTGAGCAGCCCTGATGTATTTCTGACTTGATCCACACAACCAACAATCTTGGCTTGGTATTGTTACTACTGTGCTACTAAAATGTAATTGTCCTGGTAAAAAATAAATGAGAGAGCTTGATTACTTGTATTCATTAGGGATCACGTGATAATTTTTGCAAGAGGAAGTAATGGTGTCCTGGTCAAATTCCAACTTGGATAACATAACTGAAATTTAGATGGGCAAATGTAATATCACTTGGCTACTGCAGTGAGGAATAAATAGCTGGGGGAAGGGAGAGTGAGACAAAAGAATAAGGTATCTTAAATCAAGAGGTTGTGAGGGATTTCTGAGGTGGAAACAAGTAGGGGACACACTGTTCTTAACCTGAGTCAGTGCTGCCAGTTGAAAATGTTTCCATTGAAATTCTTCATGCGTATCTACACTAATGGAATGTTGTTTGGTATAAAAACTTTATATGCTCACTTTCTGGGTAAGAATGGGCTTTCCAGTGGAGGTTCTGATGAAGAAGAGGTGTTTCTATGTAGGTGTACCCCTCTTTTGATGAAGTGGCATGTAGAATAGTGCATTGTCTTGGGACCATCAGTCCTCCAGAGTGTCCAGCAGAAACACAGGTCAGCGTATTGACTCAGCTTTGAGGCAGTGGTCGTGGTCTTTGGCAGGTGGAGAGCATTCATCTAGAAATTAATAGTGTGCTTTGATTTCAGATCCTCACAAGTCTAGTTCTAGTTCTGGCTCACATGAAGGTGTGTGTATTTGTGCCTGACTCCCACATTTGCTTGAGATAATGCTGTAGGGCAGTCCCCCCCCCCCTGCAAGAGATACAGCTCATAGATGGTATACGCTGGGCTTTACCTCAGTTGTACAAACTCAAAAGAATTTGGTGAATATTTTAGTGATTTTTTTTTTTTTTAATTGACCTTATCTTCTCTGTTGTCTCTTATAGATAAAATGTTCAACAGTTCGTTGGCAACTTTCTTCAGAAGAATAATTACTACTGCTCTGCTCTTGCCATAATATCAGAGTTCTGTGACCTACACATCCGTGCTAAACATCAGCAGAGAATCCTGGTTTGTTCCTTCTGTGTAGATGGAACAGGCATCGGTCATGAGAACCCATCCTGATTTAAAGCTGCTTGCTTGGTTTTCTGGGATTAAAGGTGCTTAATGAATCAGGCCCCCCCAGATGAATCAAACAGCCAATTCTTGCCAACAGTTGGTTGAAAACTGTGCTGTGCATGTAGCAGGTATGGCGCAAGAGGACAGTCGCCGTGGTCAAGTGCCACCCACATTTTATCATGGTGCCAGCCAGGAACTCGATCTGTCCACCAAAGTATACAAGAGAGAGTCAGGAAGTCCTTACCCAGTGTTGGTGGACAGCAAAATGAGCAAACCACATCTCCATGAAAGAGAGGAGCAGCCGTATTTCAGGGAGAACAGATCAGTAGGAGAAGTCCGGGCTGTGAAAGAAGATAGAGAAAACTCTGACGACTCTGAGGAGGAGGAAGAGGAGGAAGATGAAGTGACTTACAAAAGGGAGCAGATTATAGTAGAGGTAAACCTTAACAACCAAACATTAAATGTATCAAAAGGGGAGAAGGGTGTCCCCTCCCAGTCCAAAGAGACTGCTGTTCTTAAGACCAGCAGTGAGGAAGAGGAGGGTGACAGTGGGGAAGAGGCCACTGAAGACAGTAATGATTATGAGGAAAATGAGAGGCAGAAGAAAAAAGAGAAAAGAGTGGAAAAAGTTAGTGTTGCACAAAGGAGAACAAGGAGAGCTGCATCTGCTGCAGCAGCCACAACTTCCCCATCACCCAGAACTACAAGGGGTCGTAGAAAGAGTGTGGAGCCCCCCAAGCGTAAGAAGAAAGCTGCAAAGGAGCCCAAGGCACCTGTGCAGAAATCAAAGTGTGAAGAGAAGGAGACTTTAACCTGTGAGAAGTGCCCCAGGGTGTTTAACACACGCTGGTACCTGGAGAAGCACATGAACGTCACTCACAGGCGCATGCAGATCTGCGACAAATGTGGGAAGAAATTTGTTCTAGAAAGTGAGCTGTCCCTTCACCAGCAAACAGACTGTGAAAAAAATATCCAGGTAGGTTTGCTCACCTGCTTGCCAGATTTCCATACCTTCTGTCGTGCCCTGGATACAGCTAGCGGACACTTCAGAGGGGGAAATCTTTTGTGCAGACCAGGTTCTGACCAAGGCCTTGTCTCTGCTTATCAACACTTGGTGTCTTCCAAAAGAAGTAAATGGTAGGGAACAAAGTGTGCAAGCGTCGTCTGATTTAGCAGAGTTACTCTAGTATTTAACTGTATGTTGGGGAAAATGCAAAGCCACTTTAACAAATGTCAAACTCTAGAGTAACTGGCCTGGAAACAAGTGCATTTGACAGAGTAGAGCCAACTTCTTCAGGTGCTGAGCACCTGCAGCTATCACTAGCTTTCAAGTTTAGAAGCTAAGGTTTCAGGGGAGAATGAAATTATATAAGTGGTATTATAAGCAGAAAGCTTTACAAAACTGGAGAGGCAAGCAGGTGAGAAAGAAACTAGCAAAGTCAGGATTTGGAGTTGTGTTAAAATGTAACTTCTTTAAATCCTACTGAGATAATCTTATATAAGTAACTTACAGCATTGCATATAGCTCATGTATTCACAGGGAAATGCATGAATTCAGTGAGTAAACCTGTTCATGAGCCTGCCCTGTTCTCAGTGCAAGTAAATCTTACTGATAATACAAAGATGTCTAGTCTTACTCACCAGAAGATTTGCAGCGTATAATTTTATACAACAATGGAAGCCTGTGTTGTAATAGAACCATTTTAAAGTTAAAGTTGTGGAAAGAGTTTTAGTTTCTTATTCATCTGTGGTTTGTACTTTGCTCATAGGCATCTGTGTTCTCATGTAACTGGGGGCAGTGTTGTTTTATCTGGCGATTTGAACGTGCTTTTTTGCCTTGTTAAACTTGGCGTGGTGTTGCCTAGTTGAAATTCTTCCACTGCCAGGGTGAAGCAGCTTGGGTTCAGTTTCTGTGCAGCTGAAATGTCTGGAGTCTGTAGGGCAACAAGGTTTTTTTTGTCTGTCCAGTGAATTTTACCAAAAACATTTTTAGTTTGTTTATTTGCTGAAGTGCTAAACTGAATTGTTATTCAGTTCCCACTGTGTAGGAGACGGGTTGAAATACTTGTTGCAATTTCTCTTTGCTCTACGACTCAAATGCAGATCTGTATAACTCTGTGCTATTTTTCCTTATGTTTCAGCTCATAGGAGGAAGACTGAAGGAAAGAATATATAATATAATGAGTCTTGAGCACAGTTAGTAAAATGCATAGATATCTCAGTATGCTCTTGGAATTTTTGAAATAAACTGTTGCGAAGTTTTGTATGGCACAGGGCACTTAAGGTGCAGGAATACTCCATCATCCAGATGGCTCATTCACAGCATAAAATCTTTTGATTTTAAACAAGAATTCATGAGTAGTTTGAATTTGTAGCATATAACAGAGAAGCATCTCATAATCCATGCAACCATGGGCCTTTGAGGGGTTGCATATCCCTTTGTCCAAAGGAATAGAAAAAGAAGTTGTAGAAATTGTTCTATATCCAGTGCCAGAAGAATTAGCTCCAGGAAGCTTCCTAGTTATTCCTAGTGGGGGAGGCACTGCTACACATCTTCACAATTTTGCTATAAGTATATATTCAGCAGTTATTTTTGTTAGGCTTAACATTTGGAATGCGTTTCACAGCTGCCTGCAAATTTGTTTTTATTACACTTGGCAAAAGGAGTAAAGGGATGTGAAAGTGTTACATTAATGTAGGGTTTAATATGTCAAGGGAGATACAATTATCTAAATGCAAATGGCTACATTATGTAAGAGGTGATGAATATGACTGACTGTTCCCTGTAGTTTTCATCTAAGTGATGGAATATGTCTTTTTGTTTTTTTTCAGATAATTTCTGTTTTTATCCTTTCAAACTGAGCACCTTCCCAGAATTTTCACTGTCATCTTAGAGTCTGTGTAGTAGATGCCAATGTTAGTGGTCTGAATTGCTGCTGGTCATCAGTGAAATTGTAGATTGACAGCTTCAAGGTCTCATTTAACCTTAAAGGCTTTTTCATCATTTCTTAGCATTACTTTGCTCTCTAGGGTCCGGTTCCACTCTGTGTTCTCCCCCCAGCTCCCCTGCACTGCACTTTGTTCCTGACATGCCTCCAAGTAGATACTTTCTGAGGTAAAGGATCTCCTTGCAGTCAGCATGGTGAGTGTTGTACCAGATTCTCCAGGCCTACAGAGATTCGAGTACCGTGGAAGCAGCATTATTTGCTTGATGCAGAGAAGAAACACCTCAAGCTGACGGAAGGCATGATATTTGTTAGTTCTTCAGTGCAGAGCATTCAGCTGTTCCAGCTTTGGGGGAGAAGGGTAATTGATGTACTGGAAACCCTGAACACCCCAACAGCTATCAAAGCCAGCAAACTACAGTTCCTTCCTTCTTCACTTGAAAGATGAAACTGACTTGGTATCCTCATATGTATGGCTGCTGTCAAGTTTCAAAACTCAGATTATTGTGGAATTTTCAGAATTGTGCAAGGATTTTTATGAAGTCTTTAGCAAGAACCGTTGGGAAGAAAACACATATAAAAAAAAGCCTGTTCGTCCTGCTCATCACAGACTTAATGGATGTTTCACAGTAGTTATGGGAAGAGATTTAAAATACTGTTTGCATGTAGTCATTTTAGACCTTCAGCACTACTGAGGTGTCTAAGTGAAGAGTTAGAATGTAACACATGGCAATGACAACATGCTGTACCAACTGTGTGCCAGGTTCTTTGCATGATGAATAATTGCAAGATGGAAGTGTCTTCTGTAAAGAGCTAAAAGACTGAGAGTGCTTTGACTAGTTCAAGGGTTAGTAGATCTGCAATCTCAGGAGTCACAGTGCTCCCAAAGCCAGGTTAAGTGGACAGAAAGGCTTAATAGCTGGATGATGGTAGGTCCCTTCACCTTTGTTGGCTTCTTCCCATTTTGGGGTTTAGATTACCAGCAGCATCAGGGCCTGTGAAGTTGTAGTCTCTGTTAGGGCGTGCAGCTTTGTTCCCTGGAGGCTGCATCCAGCTATGTATGTGTTTTGGAAATAAGCACTGAGGCTGTCATCATCTTTGGCTAGCACCAAAATGCAGTGTGTTAACACCCTCTCTAATCCTGCTTAATTAAAATTGCAGGCTTTTCTTAGTGCATTTGTTTCAGCTGTGAAACAGTGAAAGCATTCTGAAGTGCAGTCTGAGGCAGTACACAGCATTTTGCCTTCTTTGGGGTTTCCTTTTGCGACATGAGAGGAAGACACATGGTTTAACTCTGCAAGTTGAATCTTTCTAATGTAAACTTCCTTGTATTTATCCTATTCATTCAGTGTGTTTCCTGTAATAAGTCTTTCAAGAAACTCTGGTCCCTCCATGAGCATATCAAGATTGTCCATGGATACGCAGAAAAGAAATTCTCTTGTGAGATTTGTGAAAAGAAGTTCTACACCATGGCCCATGTGCGGAAACATATGGTTGGTGAGTTATTGATCAGTGCTTCTGTTGGTTCTACCCCAAAATGTCTTCGTTGTTTGTCATTCAAAATTGTCTGGGGGAGACAAAAAATAAGGCAAATTCAGTTGTCCAAGCATTATCCATAGCTAAAAGGTCAAGTCTGTAATATTAACATCAAAAAATGTATACGTAGCATATGTATATGTTCTTGTAAGCTGTGTAATACTAATCATCTTCCTGCTCAGTGCTGGAGAAGAAATTTGATTCAAGAACTGTTTGCATTTTAGTGACCATCTGTAACGTACTATTGTGTTGCAGCACACACAAAGGACATGCCTTTTACATGTGAAACCTGTGGGAAATCATTCAAACGCAGTATGTCTCTCAAGGTACATTCCCTACAGCATTCTGGAGAGAAGCCTTTCAGATGTGAGGTGAGCCTGTAAATATGAGTATTTTTAGATGTGGTGGCTTAAGACGTAAGATTAATAACGCTGTCGGTGGGTGAAAATAGAACTGACTGACTTGTAAACGAGGTGCAGTTTCACAAGAATTTGGGGGAAATTATTCTCCATTTGGAGAGCAGGCAGAGCACATCTAACAGCAATTCAAACTGAGAGGTATTTGGTTTGCTTTTAAGGTTGGCTGTCGTGTTTTTCTCAACAAGAACACTACAGAAATACTACAGCAGGATTTGAACGCCAGTTGGAAGTAGGGAGGATCTCAGTAATGCATTCATGTGTATTTGTAATTTGTAGTTCTTTGCCTGACCCCAGGAAGGAGGTCTGTATGGGATAGATTTAGCCAGTCATATGTCTAGTGCAGATAATGTCTCGATCATGTGATGGGGATGCTTGTGGATATCACATGATGGAGGCAGGCCCTGGTGTAGAGCACTTCCTGCTTCCAGGTCAGGTCCAGTGCCTCGCCTTGTCTACAAAGTGGAGAAAAACTCCAGCAGCCTGTGAAATAGTAATGGCAGTACTGCAGCCACACAGACCTTGTAGGAAAACAAATTACTTCATGCCAATAAATAATGGCTGGGAAACCGATCTGTCTTTCTGAAACGCAAGCCTTAGTGCGCTGCTTTTGGTTTTGCTGTGTGAGCAGAGTCCTCTAGTGGAGGCATGCTGTAATCCAACAGCTACGCTGGCAAAGCTTCAGAATCTCCAACTGGTATATTAAGTGAACAGAAGCACTTTTCTGTTGCCATAACTGTGCCATAACTATGTCTCTCCCAGAGTTTTACCAATAGCTATGTCAAATAAAGCATTCCGTGCTCCTTGCTAAGACTGCTGTGGCAGCAGACCTTTTAGTACAGGCCAGATTCTTCTGTCATTAAGTAACGTTTGTAGGACATGAGGGTCTGCATTTGTGCTAATTGATGAATTCTTTCTTCCTTCACTTAGTATGTTTGAGCGCTATCCTTTGATTGCCTTGCTTTCTGATGTGTGATGCCTGAAATATCTGGATTGCTGTCCTTCTGTTGCAGAACTGTGATGAGAGGTTTCAGTACAAGTATCAGCTGCGTTCCCACATGAGCATCCACATCGGGCACAAACAGTTCATGTGCCAGTGGTGTGGCAAAGACTTCAATATGAAACAGTACTTCGATGAGCACATGAAGACACACACTGGTAAGAACTTAGCAGAGAAAAGTACAGGTGCCTGCAGGACAGAAACATTCCTACTCTTTTGCCTGTATTCCCTCCCTTGGAACTTGGGATCAAAGCTGTGACCCAACACAGAAAATCAGAAAAGAGATGGTAATAGGATAGCTTCCTGTTAAATGATAAGAAGCGTTTATAAACCTGTGATTCACTGCCTGGGGAACTGAGAGGTTAGGCCTTATGGACGACTCTCTTGGGCCATCATAATCCAAAGGTGAGAGAGGGTATCATAAAGACTGGGGGCTTCTGTGAAACAGATGAATCTGTTTGCTGAAGGTAGCAGTCAGAATAGCTTTTGTAGTCTACAATTTGTATAAGCATGCTGAAGTAAGTGTAGGCAAATGTTCAGTGTCTAACCAACTGCCATATCCCTATTTGTCAGGAGAGAAGCCCTTTATCTGTGAAATCTGTGGGAAAAGCTTCACCAGCCGCCCAAACATGAAGAGACATCGCCGAACTCACACAGGGGAGAAGCCCTACCCATGTGATGTGTGTGGCCAGCGATTTCGCTTCTCCAACATGCTCAAGGCACACAAGGAGAAGTGCTTCCGTGTTACCAGCCCTGTTAATGTGTCATCTGCTGTCCAGATCCCACTGTCCACAACTTCTGCCACCACAGTTCCTGCTGTAGTGAACACACCCACCGCCCCAACCCCACCAATCAACCTGAACCCAGTGAGCACACTTCCTCCACGTCCCATTCCCCATCCGTATTCACATCTTCACCTACATCCTCATCCTCACCATCCACATCATCTTCCAGTTCCCCCCGTTCCCCATTTACCCCCTCCTCCTGCTCTTTTTAAGAGTGAGCCTTTAAATCACAGGGGTCAGAGTGAGGACAGCTTTTTGCGACACCTGGCAGAAAAAAACAGTTCAGCACAGCACCACTAACATCCTTGCTTCCTGCCAGCTATTTTCCCATTTTATGCACATGGAAACATGCCCTCATGGAAGTGCAGAGGGTTAGTTGATGAGGACTTTCGTCTCTCTCATAGCCCCCAGCAGATGGTCCCGATTTTTCCTTTGAATCATTTAGCAAACAAGGAAATCCTGTTTTGGATCAGCAGTGCTCATTTGAACCTGGGAACCAAAAGGACTTAACCCCAATTTGCTTGTGTTTTCCTGGTGACTTTTATAAATTTCGGATACTGAGACTTGTGGAATTTTATAATTTCATATCAGCTGATGAGGTATGCTTGCTTTTATATCCTGGACTTCTCCTCAAAGAGGAGAGAGGCCTGGTTTTCTTTGTACTAATCGGAAAGGCTGTGAGATTAATACAGAGCATTAATTGTATCACTGTGTATCGTAATGGATTCTTTTCAGCTTTTGGTGCCGGCTATGGAGTGATCCAGCCACGTATCACGATATATTTGAGCATTATAAAGAAAGACAAAAAAATTTCTTGTTTGTGTAGCTCTCCTAACACACTCTTTATTTTACTACAGAAATTATTTTAGAGTTTTTTGTATAGACCTATTTAGTAGTCAGTTTCTAAAATGAAATGTATTTCAATAAGCGGTGTAATTTTTTCAGTGTAGCTGGACCTATGTTGTATAATAGATAAATTTTTATAATCATCAAAATGTGATTCTTAAAAGATGCATATAGCTTCTATAGTTAAAGTTATTCTTACAACCGTACAACTTAAAACAACAAAAGGTGCTTCAGAGAAGAAAGGAATCCAAGAGGTCTCTGGAAAGGTTGCCTCAAAAGTGATGTTGATTTCAGAACTTTATGTAATTTATTTTAGTAGGTTGGTGGGGTTTTGTTTTGTTTTGTTTTGTTTTTCTACCTTAAGTTTCCCTTTCCACGGTTTCTGTTAAGAGTTTATGGAGAAGGATGTTGAGATACTGTATTCTCCCTCCTCAGATTTCATTAAATTCAACTGGAGTCAGCTGTGAAATGGGCTGGAGAGGGAGTATTTCAAGTCAACCAAGCATCTTTATGTAGGAGAGCCTGTTTTAATGGCTTTTCATGGTATGATTTTAAGCTGGGGATCCTATCAAATGCTGCTCTTCAGATTGCTTTCTGGAATTCCTGGAGTTAGAAGAGGGTAATTAAGTGAAATCATAAATGCAGTGTTTCTGACTGGTTGATTGTAAGAGTGAGCAGTTTGGATGAGACAATGGTGTTTCAGTTGCATTGTTAAGAAAACACTGACAGCAGTGTATGTGCCATGGGAAGCTCCATCCCATAAATATACTGTGCATAAAATTATGGGATGATTTCTAGGAGTTGTAGTCACATGTTTGGCAAATCTAAGTTCTACAGTTGTAGGATAGGAAGCTTTGAATTGTAGGCATGTCACTGTTCCATAATCCTGGGAGCAATGAGGAGGAAATGACAAGTAGTGCAGGGATGGTGGGCTGGAATGCCAAACGTGTACGTTTTAACCATCAAGTAGTTATTAATTTTTCAGGTTTGTATTTCTCTTCAACTAAAACTAAGTATAGCAGCATTATGCAATCTAGTACATTGTTGCCACCTTCAATGAAGACAGATGCTCAAGGCAACGTACTGTAAGTTCTCATTTCTTTAAAATTTGTATCTTCTGAGCTGCTTTTTAAATTAAATCCCACCAAACTGTAGATCCAGAGATCCTCTAGGCAGATGTCTAACATACCATTCTGCTTACTAATGAACTGGGGTTTTGTGGCTGATGGGAGTAATTTTTTTCAGTCTTCAAGACAGCAGAAATGGTGGAAATTCTTCTTCCTGTTACTTCCTTGAAGTTAATGCTTTTAAGCACTGTGTTTTGAAACACTATGTCCTCTGTCTGTCAAGAATTAGTTCCTTAGTTGATGTTTTTCACAATTTTCTACCATCTAATCATTAATATTTTTTTCATAACGTGCATAGCAAACTGTAGGAACCAGGAAGGGCAATTTTGGCCCAACAAACCTATTCGTTTTTGACTGAGCTGAAACCCCTTCCAGCATTTCTGAAAAATAAAACAATGTGTTTTTTAAATGTTTTCTCTACAGTATTTATATACACTCTCTTATCTTCTAGGCAAAAAAAGCCAACAAAAGTGAATTTACACTCGTGATGACAACTGTTGTATTTACTGTGGCTGGTCCGCCCCAGAGGTTCTATGCATTCCATGTCACGTTTGCACCCTACATTTCTGTTGTGCCACTATTTTACGGTCAGGCCCATTATTAAATGATTTTTAAATGCTAAAAATCAGTTGTATTCCGTTTTTGCAAAATGATCTTCTTCTCAATAAATGTACCATATTAGGCTGCTATTCAGAATTCTGAAATTTGGAACACTTTTTTTTTTCCTTTAGTGTTTAGTTCATAGCAATGATCCCTTTTGTTTTTCTTCCAAGACTTAACAAACTTAGGAATCCCTTTCTGTGGAAGAAGATTAAACTTTCTAACCAGTTTCACAGTCTGTCATAATGTCAACAGATTCTCCTCATTGTCTGGGACAGACGTAGTGAAAGCTGACAGACTGGTCTAGGAGTGCTGCAATGTGGGATTTTATAAAGTACATCTTTTACCGAAAAAGGAAAGTGGGTGTTACAAAAGTCTGGAAATTAAAGGGTAAGGTTTGCTGAGGCTTTTCACTCCTGCTTTGATTTGCATAAGTATGCACACCTACAGAATTTGTGCAACACTAAGGAATGTATTCAAGTGCGTTTACTACTTTTTGCATGTTAACAAGCTGGGAATAATATTTTGTGTAGAGCTTTATTACATTTGGTTAGCACATAAGCTTGGTTTGTGTTACTGAAGTGCTTTCTTCAAGAAGAGCAAGGACAAGTAACCCCAACTTCAGGTTTGATTTGAGTGTTTTTGGAAGGTGAGACTGACTTCTCCATTAGTTTTCCAAAGCATCCTACAGCCTAAGGGGAACTTTTACTTAATTTTTGAAATTACATTTTTAAGGGGAAGAATTGAACAGAATTAATATTGCAATCTAGAGATTGGCTGTTTAAAGGACAGTGTCTTTTCTAAAAGCTGCTAGTCCTGCAGACAGTGCCTTTTCCTTACTAAGGGCACTGGCTGTGTGGGCTTGTTTATTCAGTGTACTATCTCAGGCTCATTTACCTTCCTAGATGAAGGTGTGGTGATTATCTGTTTTGTATTGACTTGCCTGTCTGAGTTATTGGCTCTCCTATTTACACAGCGTGGATGCTTGGTAGATGATCTAATTTGTATTGCTGTGCACATCAAAAGTTACTGTCACCCACCTTGTGTTCCCAACCACATCTCAAATTATGGGCTTTTGAAAGAGTGCTTTGAGCTGAATGTAGGCTCTTATCACTGGGAGATTAGTTGTATCTCAGCACTGCAATCCCTTTGGATATTTTTGCCTTTGCCCTGTTGCATCTCTTGAGCATGTAATAGCAATTTTCAGTTTATTGGAGAGAAGGCAAAACTCACGAGTATGCAGTTTAAAGATAGTGCTTCCCTTTGATACTTTCAGTCTGTTTTAAACAGGTTACCTGAAAGACCAAGTTTCTCCCTGAGCTGAAAAGCTTGCTATTTTTGTAATTTATTTACTGATTGCCTATTTCTTTGCACTATAGTAGCCTACGGTGTGACCATTATGGGGCTGAGTACCATTTTGTTTGGAGGTGGAGAGTCTCTTGTGCAGAGCTGTTTCTATTCTTGTAGTGTTGCATTGACACATTCTGGTTTGATTATGAATTGCAGGGTACATAGGCCTTTGAGAAAACAATAAAAGAATAAGCAATGTGCAAATACAGCGATGGAGAACACTAAATAATGTCAAACTTCTTTTTTCTTTTCTCTTGGGACTTAACCTCAGGGTTGTAAAATGTTTCAGTAATTGTTTTATGCTTTCATATTTCTATTAACCAGCAGTATTAAAAAAGAAAACCCACCACCATGATGTGTGACTCAAAAGGATTTTTTTTTTTAACCTGCTACTGAGGAACATCTCACTTGTAAATAACCATCGTTAGCTATAAGCTCATCAGTCCAAAACAGATAAATCCCATTCCTCTCTAGACCACGTAGTAAAAGTTAAGTATTTCCAAAGTAGAAAAAAGGTACTATGAAAATTAATGACTTTTAAATGGTGTCATTCTTCTTCAGTTCAACTTTGAAAGCAGAAGTGTCACCGTGCGAGTTTTGACATGCATGGTAAGGTTTAAACAGCCCTCTGTGGCTCATCACTTTCCAGCTTCCATCAAATAAATCTGCCTTGTACCATAATGGCTGTTCTGCTTGTACCTGAAACAGTTTTGCACCTCTGTCACCATTTGGTTTTGTTGTGTTTTGTTTGAACAGTGCTCTTTGCTATCAACTCAAAGGATCTGTTCTTTAAAGGGTGCAGGTAGGGAAGAAGGATCATTTGTTTTCAGAGTTTGTGTCAACGTGGATGAAATGTGATCATTTTTGGTGGAAATTTTGGATTTTCATAACCGGAATTTAATTCAACTTTAGTAACAGAGAAGGAAATTTGAAGTAACCTGGCACTAATTAGTACTGTCTTGCTGACCAAAGAAGGCATAAATTAGTTCATGTTTGGATTTAAGCTGAGAACGAACACTACTGTATATTGTAGGTGTATTGAAGGCATGGCAGAAAAGTTAAAACCCACTGCAAAGGAAAGAGACATCCAATGGGAAGGCAAGCATTTTGTGTAGATACCAAAGTTATTAGCATTCACGTGTTGGTAATAAAAGCTGGTTATCCTAGCAGCAACAGGACAATGGTGCAGCTTTTAAACTTCTGATATAAAACTGAATGAGAGATGAGAGTTAGGTTAGTGATGCCATGATTCAAATTTCATATTCACTCAGCATCTCTCCACAATAATTTCAGCCTGAGCTGACCTGTTCCCATTAATTGTGGTGCAGAAGTTCCCTATGGATCACAGAGGGCGCCCTCTGCTCTCAGAAATTCAGACAGAGCTGTGCCTTTTCCAAATGAGAATAAAGATTTGAAGGCTTTCTTTTTCTTTCTCCATTCTAAAAATTGGCCTGTCCTCTTTTTTTTCTTTTTTTTTCTTTTCTTTTTTTTGCAAAGAAATCCTCCTGCTGCGTTGATCTGTTGCTGCTTTTACAGATTGGAATCAGCAAATGCATCTTCTGATGAAATTTCTCTGGATATTGGGAATTGCCTTTGTGCTCAGTCATGGCCCATGTGTGAACAAAGTGCATTCTTGCAGTGCAGGCCTCTTTGTGTACTGAGAATTTATGTATACAAACATTGTAGTCAAATGGAGCTTCCCTGAGTGCAGCAGTGGGTGTAGGTGTTCACAGTCTGTTTTGTCATATTGCTAAATAGTTCTTTCATCCTTTTCATTTGGCATGGAGGTAGGTTTGTGTGGTACATGCTTGCACTCCCAGTTTTCATGCTGTTTCCCTACACCACGTACTCCAGCAGAATACCCTTATGATATGAACTTCAAACAGATCTGAAATGGAGAATTGATGGAATATTTTGCACCAGAAAGGAAATGCTGCTTTGGTTTGGTTTGTGTTTGAATTCCCTACCCTGAAAAACCTGCCCAGGTGGAGGCAGAGCAGAAGTCCCTTGCTGAAGTGATCTATTAACGTTAATTATTATCTTTTGCTTGGAGAACTCTGAACACTGTTGTTACTTTTTTCTTTTTAATCAACCCATATGACAACAGCATGGCTCTGTGATATTTTTTATCTCGATTCTGCACAAAGGTGACATTTGTAACCACACTGACAGTAATCAGTAGAGGATGTCTTTTCAATAAACTGCACATCTACATTTTCCTGAGCTAGGTGTCTGGTTTCCTAAAGGGTCATTGAAGCCTTTCAAGCTCCATTGACCGGGTACAGAACCCAGACATAAAAGCTGGTGGGAAAACACCCCTCCAGTTCTCATGGAAAGTGAAGTCGTTTGATTTTCTGATATGCTGTTGAATTAATGCACTTTCCTAAGATAAGGAGAGGCATCAAGTGCAAGAGCTAAAGTCTAATATGCAGTTTAAAGATGCAAATGTGCATCGTCTGTTCAGATTTAACTTTGTTAAAATGATCACCTCTAAAGACAATCTTGCTAGACACACTGAGTTCATTAGAAATACTGGGATAAATTGTGTCACTGAGTAATACAGGTGGTTTCTCACGTTGGGGAGGACTTCACCATTCTTGTTATAAATTGCAGGAGCGTAATGATTTGACAGGAATTCTTGTTGGTAAGAAAGCAGAAGGTTCTTTGGGTAAGCTGCAGGTGAATTGCATTTTCTCGTGTCTTAGATTGGAAGGTTTAGAAAGGAAACCATTGTAAGAACAAAGGTTTTTGTGTCCCCTTGAGGTTTGCCATAGCTCAGCTGGAACAAACAGCAGGCAGTGTTTCCAAAGACAATTTGAGCTTTTCCAAATAGAAGCAGTCTGTCTCAGTTTTTTTCTCCCCTAACACGATTGAAGCTTGAAAAATAAACTTAATTTGTAACTGTATTTTTACAAAAAGTCTGAATTAATTCTTTCAGCTGCCATTGGTAACGTATTATTTGATGCTCTTAGCAGGTACAGCAGCTGGTTTGGTGCTAATGTCAGTTGAGGTTGCAGCCCATGTGGTAAGAGGGGCTTAGTGATGCAGCACCTTTCATTCTTCAACCTTAAACTCCAGGATCAGTTGTCAAATGATGTTGGAGAGCTTGGTGTGTGTTTGTTTGAAAGCAGCAATGGTATAATATCTTGATGGGAAGGTTATGAAAAAAGGTTGTTGCTCTGTTCAAAAGCTGCAGCTGTAGAAAAGCATAGTTATGAGTTTTCCCCACCTGAAAAGTTATTTAACAGATTAAAAGAAGAGAGATGAGCATATAGGAAGCTAAAGTGTTCTGACTCTGCTTCTCCTGAACCCCTATTACAGTTTCTGCATTGAGATTTCAAGTGAAAGCTGATGCTAGCAAAAGGAGTATAAGAGGTCCACAAAGTGAAGTCAGGAGAATGCTGCAGCATGGCCACCAAACGTCTGACAGCCCTGCAGTGACCTTGACCTGACGAACAGTAAGGATCTGTAATTGTTGGTTACACCACACTTCTTGCTTATGCAGCCCAAACGTAACTGAGTGTATTGTGACTAAGTGCTGCTTATGTTTACCATCTTAATTTTGCAATTTCATCTTCAGATTGCCTTAGCTCTGTTTTGCCTGTTGTCTGAGAGTAACAATCAAGGGACAGCTGACAGTGGCCTCAGTAAGTGTGATGGGCAGTCCTTCACATGTGCTGCACATTGGAGTGGGATCTGTGAGTTAAAATTAAAGGATGGTGTGTTCTTGTCTGAATTGTGAGCTGCAAAATAATTCTGCAACTGTGTGTTGGCATATCTGAGAGCTTGCAAAATGAAAGCCTGAGAAAGCATGTTACAAAATAGCTGCCAGTTTTGCTCTCAAACAGGAATCCAGCCTGCAATGCCAGGCGATGAACAGTTGTCTGCTTGCTTTCCATATAAAATACTGGGGTGCTTTCATCTCAGTGCTTAAAACTCTCAGCCTCCCTTCTGCAAACTGTAAGAATTTCTTTATACCTTTACCAGGAAGATAACTTTTTCCATCAGATGTGTTAAAATTAGGAAGTGTATTAAAAAAGAATTGTTGCAAAACAGAATCATTTATCTAAAGGTTTCCTTTGGTGTTTACTTGAGCAGCCTGTGTGCATAAATTTAATGTATTACTGTCAGATGAGTAAATATCCGTGTTCTGCAGATGTGAAACTGAGAGACTGACATTATGTAAGCAAATGACAGCTGGGGACAGAGTTCTGAGTTATTTCTGATCCAGACTACTGCCCTAACCACAGGATCACCATTTCCCTTTTCAGTTCTTTTTAGATTTTCTGCATAATTTCCTCCACAAGGTTTTTCAGACAGTAGATGGATTATATTACAATAAAGGAGATAAGAGTCAGCTCCTTTGTGGTTATATGGTAGCTACTGTGTCAACAGGAAAAATAGCAGCTCAGGAATCTGACCCATCTGACAATGTGGAACACACTGATTGCTTAAGGTAAGCGTGGAACAGAGCACAGCCTGTATTTTCAATGGGCAATGATAAACAAAATTAGTTCAGACTGAAAATTGATACTTTCCAAGACAGCCCAAGCATGAAGATATCAGCTTTCTGGTAGATATCATTAATAGTCTGAAGGTCTCAGGACACCTAAAATGAACGACGGTGTCCTGTTCAAACTCTGGTGTGGTAATGGCTCTGGTTCTTACATAGCAACTGTGATTTCAATAGGTTAAGGCATCCTACAGCTCTCTTTCACAACAGGTTCTGGAGAGTGATAAAAGAAAATGTATCATATGTCAACAGAGAGGTTGAATTTGAAGTTGAATTTGATAGTAGGCACAAGATGACCTTGTTTCCAGGGGGGGGAGAAAAAGAACAGGTGCACTGGGAAAAGAAGGCATCAAGGAAGCATGTCATCTAACTGTCCATTCCAGTTGCAGGTTTGCAATCACAGAATGGTTGTGTTGGAAAGGGCCTTGAAGCCCATCCACTTCCACTCCTGCCATGGGCTGGGTGCCCCCCAGCAGCTCAGGCAGCCCAGGGCTCATCCATGGCCACAGGCAACTCCAGGGATGGGGCACCCCCAGTGCCATGGCCTCACCACCCTCTGTGTAAAGAATTTCCTCCTCACATCTCTCCTCTTCTAGTTTAAAGCCATTCCCCCTTGTCCTGTCACTATCAGACTGAGTCAAAAGATGCTCTCCATGTTTTTTCTGAGTTCCTTTAAGTATTGGCAGGTCACAATGAGGTCTCCCTGCAACCTTCTCCAGGCTGAACAAGCACAGCTCACAGCCCATTTCTCAAACTTGTTGGGGTCCCTTTGGATGGCATCCCTTCCTTCTGCTGTACCAACTCCCAGTAAGTTCTGCACTCCAGCATTTTTAGGCTTGGTTTATTATGAAACACACAGAGATTGGAGTTACTTCCATGTGAAAGAATAGGATTTCCAGCTGAATGATTGAAATGTATTCAATAGGACTGCAGTTACTGAGAGGGAATGTGTTGCTCAGCTCACCAGCCTGGCAGCGTGAGAGCAGTTAAAGCAGCAGATTCTGCTGACCTGTAGCGTGCAGAGATAGCACTATCAGTGCCTCTCTTACACTGCTTCAGCAGAAGCTTATCCCACCTGATAAAAAGCCCTGTCTTGTTGCCTGTATTTCCTGATTTCTAAGTATTACACAGAACAGAACATATTGAGTGCTCTGTTTTATATGGAGCTGCACAGTTCCAGTTTGGTGTTTCTTTTTAATCCCTTGTTGTACCTTTATATTACAGCAGCTTGTTAAATGAATCATTAATGGTGATTAATCTTGTAAATGCTTTCTTAACTATGAGTCTTAATGTAAAACTTCCTCAAGATGCTTAACTAGAGACAGAAAGGAGCTTTTGGTGAATAAGTTCTGAGAGGGAGAGTTGTTTTTCAGGTTGTCTGAACTACGTGACAGTCCTGTCTAGGTGAAGAAGGGGAAATTGTGCATCTTTATTGGGGAAAAGGGGGGAAATGTGCATACTTAGTGGGGAAGAAGGGAGATGTAAGTCCTCTGTAAGCCAGTGGGTGAAGAGCTTGCCCAGAATTTAAGTTACACATTTGATTCACTTTTCTTTAAAAAGAAATTGGAGTCGTACTCATCCCCTGACCACATGAGTACAAATAAGGTGACTGTGGGGAGGTACAGAGCACGGCTGTTTTATTTGCCCCATTTAATAACTTATTTCCATAAAAACCAGCATTTATAAGATGGAAAAGGTGTGGGATTCTTGTCTCCTGCTGGATGGTTACCTGACCACTCTGGTGAGTCTTTCTGTCTTTTTTAGGGATTATTACCAGTACAAAATTGAAGCCTGTGTTGGAGGAACCTCAGGAGACCTGGAATGGCCTGAACTGAGCACACCTGCCTGCTCTGTGTCGTGTCCCAGCTGTTGCACTGGGGGGTTTACAGATATGGATGCATGGGGAAGTCACCCCATGCACTGAAAAGCAAGGAATGGAGTTTTGTTCTCTCTTTTCTTGACGGTTTGGTTTTTGGTGGTGCTTTGTTGTTGTTTTTTTCCTCTCTCTGAACAAATATTATTTGCTCAGAAGATGTTTATTGCTATAAAAGAAATGTGTAAGATGACAGTGTGTTGGGAAGGAGATAGCACAAGGTGACTGCAATTGAAGGTTCCTTGTCTGTGTACCTTAAAGACAACAGAGTTCCCCGTGTGAATAGAGAAAAGCTGCAGTTTTACTCCAAGATGGTGTAATTTACTCCAAAGGTGTAATCCAAGGACTGTGAGACAGTTGGCCAGATGGATTTCATGGGGTCTGCTGAATTAGGCTTCACCTGAGTGCTGCTGTGTGTTGCTGGAGGCCCATGGGCAGCAATGGGGTGGCTGGCAGCTGTGTGCAATTGTAGGCTTGCTGGGTTGCTGATGCAATCCACTTGTTGGTTAGAAAACAGGACAGCAGGATTGGAGAGAAGCATACAGCAGTGAATTTCCTTCAGCATAGGGGATGTTACACCCATTGTGGGGAAATTGTGTGTTCATAAGAGGGTTGCTTGCCCATCTGGGGGTTGCCAGGAACCAGAGCAGCCCGATGCAGAGCCATGCCGTCCTCACTTGCTCTCCTGGATTCTTAACAGTGGAAAATCACTGGGATACAGGATTATCCTTGCCAAACTCCTCTGCCTGTGATGTTTCTGGAATGATCTTCGCCCTGGTGCTGCTCAGTAGGAAAGAGACAGCATGCAGGGGACAACGTGCCCTTGTTGGGTTTCCTATTGCCTTGGTCCTACTGATGGATCACACAAACGCAGCCTGCTGCATTCCTGGGAGGTGGTTGTGACCACGGGGGGCTGTAACAGCCCCAGTGTCCCAGACTAAATAGATGGCAAAATAGTTCCTTGATAACCTGGATTCTTTCAGAAGGGAGGACGGGTGCCTGCAGGCAGCTCTCACTGCGTAGCAGTCAGTGTGCTTTAACTCTTAGAAGCAAAGTCCGCTAGGAGAGATCTCAAAATAGCAGCGCTTTGGCTGCAGTAACGCTGCGGGCTGGGGCTGAATTTTGGAGAAATGGGGGGGAATCCACGGGGCTACGCCTGGGACTGCGGGCAGGGAGCGCTCCGCAGCACAGCTGGCACGGGAGAACTCCAATTTGTGCAGCTCTTCTTCAATTTAGCGCGGCTCCTTCCTTTCTTTAGCCGCCGTTAATTAAAAAGCAGGACAAAACCCATCTTCTGGCAGCCACTTCGGTACGTGTTTTTCAATGCCACGCTGTTGCGTCCCTCCCTGCGTGCGTCCTCAGTGCAGACTTTATACAAGCAGCGCTTTGCTTTTTTTTTTTCCCTTTTTTTTTTTTTTTCCCTTAATCACTGGCGATCCCGGCCCCAATTACACGTCCTGCAGAGCCGCAGATACCGCTTCCCCCGCCCTGCGAGCACGATGGGGGGGGTCGGGGCGTGGGTTCGCTTTGCAGCACTCTGCAATTCGATGTCCTGCGGCGGAGCCAGCACCCAAAATTAGCCGTCCTGCGGGCGGCGCCCGGCCAGAAAAAGGGCTATTTTGGGGTCCTGCCGACCACAAAAGGAGCACTTGGGGCAGCGCCGAAGGGTTGAGCCCTCGCCCCGCCCGGGCGCCGTTTGGGGTGAATTGCCGCATTTTTGGGTCCGAGCCTCCCTGTTGGTTTTTGGGTTTTGTTTTTTTTTGCAAAGCAGTGCGAAACGGCGAAGCTTCTCGGAGTTAAAAAAGAAAACGAAATAGGTTCTTGTTGGTTTACTGCTGATTTTGCTGTAACTTTTTAGGAGCAAAGTCACGCTACGACCGCGCTCCCTGTGTGCGGGTGCGCGTCCCCGACGCTTATTTGGGGAGGGGAACGCGGCTCTCTGCGCCCCCGCCCGACGGAAAAGGGGCGGGACTTCGGTAAGCCACGCCTCCTTGGTGCGCGCCGGACGGGCTGCTATTGGCTGCGTGGGCGATGACGTACGCGCACTGATGTTGTCCCGTGGCGCCGCGCCGGGACTTCGTTTGCGTCGCCTTAAAGGGGCCGCGCTCGCGGCAGCCCCGGCAGCGGCGCCGGCCCCGCGCCGCTCCCCAGTCGCCGGTGTCTGGCCCTGCTCCGCCGTTCTGCGGGGCGAACCGGGCGTTCCCGGGGGGTTCCGACCGGGTAAGGAAGCCCTGGAGGCTGCTCAGACATGAGTCGGCACCGGCACGGCTGCTGTCGGTGCCGACTCCGGTAGGAGGCTGCGAGGAGCGATGCACGGGGACGGTTGGCGCCGGTACCGGGAGATGCAGGCAGGTACCGGTACCGGGAGGTGCCCACTCCGTGACAATCTCTGTCATAGCTGGTGCGACCGGTGCTGGGAGGCGTCAATCTGGTAGCGCTGGTGCCGGTACCGGGAGGTGCTGGTATAGAGCAGGAGCCTTCAGGCACCGATCATGCGTGAACCAGCCCCATTGCGGCTGTCACCCGTACAGACAGGACCCGAGGAGCGACCACGCATCATCCGGCACCGGCCCCGCTCCGTGTGCCGGGCGGTTCGGTCCTGGCAGCTCCCGGTGCCGCTCCTCTGCATGCGCCCCTCGGCAGCCCCATCCCCGGGGAGCGAACCGCACTCCGGGAACCGATTTTGGGCTTCGCGGAGCACCGGCTGTCTGCCATCCACCGCCTCACAGGTGTAGCATTTTGGGGCTAAAACAGCCTGCTTTGGGTTTGTTGTTTGTTGGGGTGTTTTTGGGGGTTTTTTTGTTTGTTTTTGCAGGGAGAGCAATGCTTTGGTCACGACGCTTTGAACTGCGTCAAGGGGAAAAAACAAATGTATAAAATGAACCGTCCCCGTGGACGGTCCCCAATGGATCAGCCACCAGCGGGGGGTGCTTTCCCCTCCTTTGCTTTTGGAGCAGCAGCACTTTGTTTTCTGCTCTTCCTTTAGTACGGGTGTACGGGGTGGGCAAACAAATTTGGCGAAGGTCAGCGGCTGGGTTTGGGGCTTAAAAAAAAGATACATTGTCTGCTCCAGAAACATCAGCTAAGCTTAAAAACATCAAAACCGGAGGTGTAGGGGTAAAGCAGGGCGATGGAAATGTGCTTGGGCAGATGGGAGATGTCCCAATGCCCGTCAGTGTGCCAGCAGGTCCTGCAGCAGCGCTGGATGGGTGGGTGCAGCACTGCGCTGCTCTCAGCCGGCGCCGTGTCCTGGGCTGAACCCGAAATCATGGGATTAAGCTGTAAATCCCACAGCCGGGCAGAGTTCCCCTGGGACACACAGCGGTGATCGCTCCGCGGAGATAACGAGGGTGGCAAATGTCGTTGGGTTCCTGTGGGGGGCGGGAGGATGCTTGAGGGGGATGGGAGGGATAGAAAACATCGAGATTTGGGGGATAAATGACCCGGAGAGATTCATCTGCGTGTGACACCAACAGCTCCCTGCTTTTAACGGGGACATTTTCACCCTCGTCTCGAATTGAGTTTCTTTAACCCTTTGCTTTCGGTGCCGTTAACAAACCAACGTCTGTTTCATTTTCCAGTTCCAACCTTCAGGCTTTGAATAATGTTAGGAAGCACGGCTGCTTTAATTTTATTTTGGAAGGACTCCTTTTTTTTTGCAGAAGGTGGAAGGACACTCTCCCAGGAAGCAGCTGCCCGGTGAGTCATCTCCACGTATAAATAGCACTGGTGGGAGCGGTGCCGCGGTTTTGCTGCTCGCAGAGCAAAGGGGTGCAGTGCTTCCCTTTAGATGGAGAAAGAGAGCATCCATTCCTTAGGAAATCCTTGGTCTTTGTGCACAACATAACTCCAGGACTTCAGTTTTTAGAGCTGCCCGTAAGCTGTTATCCGTGGAGCTCTGTTCCAGGGCTCTTTGCTGCTGTAATGCATCCTTAAAGCTCGGATCAAAATGATTTTGGCACCAATGCAGAATATAAAGAAAAAAGTCACAATTAATCTTCCGTGCTGTTTATTCTGTTTCTTTTGATTCGGACCTGAAGATCGTAGTGGTAAATTTCAGCCCCAGGCTGGCTGTGGCTTTATTTGGTTTTAAATGATGCTTGTGAATAAGCATCTTTTGGTGGGTGCTTACAAACAGAAGTTGGTTTGGACAACCTGTGTTTGTGGGAGAACCAGCCCATGGCAGAGCAAATGGATAATCCTCAAGTTCCTTTCCAGCCTAAGCCCTTCTGTGATTTGTTGTGGCCAGAATAACCCGGTGCTGGCCTTAAAACAACTCAATTCCCAAACAAATCCCCTACAGACCAAAAAAAATCTCTTCATAAAGTGACACTGACATCAAAAAAATCATTGAAATCCTCCTCGATTCAGCCAGCAAACCATTAAATTGCCCGCGTCCTGGTGTGTTATTCCTCCTGCCCAGGTCTCCCACCAGGCTGAACTCTGAGTTTTGGCATTCTGAGGTTTTCTGTCGCTCTGTTTTTCTCCCCACACACTGCAAGAGGTTGGCAGGATTGCAGATCTGGGGCTGTGCCTGCACTGCGGGCAGCAGGCTGGCACAACTCAACCAGAGCTGCCTGCGCCCTTCTTTGCCTTCCAAGATAATTGCTCCATTTAAAAGAGCAACCCAAACTAATTAGACTGGAAGAAAATCAGGACGATTTTTGGAACGGGATGTTGTTGCTGGGTTGGGTCTTTTCATGTGTGGCAAAGCCTGAGTGCTTGGGAGAGCTAAGAGGGATGAGGCGCATTAAGTGGCCCCTGCCCACTCACACTGCTCCCTACAGAGTCATTTAATTCTTCAGCTCCTGATACAAAAGGTCATGAGCTTGGGAGTTCAGTGCAGGACACAGGCACGTAGCGTGCTGCACGTCTCTGCACGTCACATCCATTAACCAGCATCCTCCTTCTGGTTTGCAGTGAGGATCCCAACACAGAGAGCCCTAAAAGGGACCTTCAGCAAAGCGGTGCTTGAAGAGTGATGGTCTTAAAATGAAAAGGTGCTGTGAGGGTGTTGGGCTGCCATGCCTGTTTAAGGTCAGTGTGATTCTCTGTGTTTTCACCTCTCTGTCTCTTCTGAGGGTCAGGGAGCAGAAGTGAGGTCCCTGTCCTGCACGTCTGATTGGTGGCAGGCGGTGAGCGGGGGCTGCTGGGTTTGGCACTGGGCTTGGGCTGAGGCTGTCCAGCTCTGTGTTGTCAGCAATGTGGTTTTACTTTGAAGAGAAGGGCAGATCCCAAATCTGAGCCCAACCCAAAGGGAAACCACATCCAGGTGACAGCACAAAAATTAACCTGCAGAATCTTTTCCAATGAAAAGCCAGACTTGTCCTCGCAAGGATGGCAGCAAGAGGGGTTTGTTTGCAGCTACACAAATCGTTTTGTACAGGTGTGATGTGAGTGGGATGGGGAGCAAACTTTGCCTCTCCCCTTCTCCAGCACCCATGGAACCACGCCAGCACTGTCCCCGTGTCCCTTGGGAGGACGTGTGTCAGTCCTTGGCACACTGACCACCTTGACTGCAGTACAGGGATTAGCAGTGGCAAAGTGATCTCTTTATAGGAAGGATAAACATTCCAGGGTCAGGGCTGAGGTATGTCAGCAGGGGATTACCCCTAAGGTCCCCAGCTGGGTTAATGAGCTACATGGCAAAAAGTGGGCAGGGATAATTTGGCAGAGAAATGCTGCTCTGCAGCGCTGGCAGCCTCTTGTGCTGTGTTTGTTGCCTTTGGCTCCAAAGCCAAATGCTCAGCTCACTATGGGCGCTCTTCTTCCTCCCGCAGGGTGTTGGTATGGCCAGCTCCCGGCCTCCCAAGTACCTCCTGGTCTTCGATTTTGATGAGACCATCATCAATGAGAACAGTGATGACTCCATTGTGCGGGCAGCACCGGGGCAGGCACTGCCTGAGCACATCCGACAGAGCTTCCGTGAGGGCTTCTACAATGAGTACATGCAGCGTGTCCTGGCCTACATGGGAGACCAGGGTGTCAAGATGGGGGACTTCAAGACCGTCTATGAGAACATTCCCCTGTCTCCAGGCATGCCTGACCTCTTCCAGTTCCTCTCCAAGAACCACGAGCTCTTTGAGATCATCCTCATCTCCGACGCCAACATGTTTGGCATTGAGTGCAAACTGAGGGCGGCCGGTTTTTATTCCCTCTTCCGTAAAATCTTCAGCAACCCATCCAGCTTCGACAAGAGGGGTTACTTCACCTTGGGGCCCTACCACAGCCACAAGTGCCTTGACTGCCCAGCCAATATGTGCAAACGCAAAATCCTAACGGAGTACCTGGCCGAGAGAGCGCAGGAAGAGGTGGAGTTTGAGAGGGTATTTTACGTTGGGGACGGTGCCAATGACTTCTGCCCTTCGGTGACTTTGACTTCAGCTGACGTTGCTTTCCCCCGCAAGGGTTATCCCATGCACCAGATGACCCAGGAGATGGAGAAGAAGCAGCCTGGAGGTTTTCAAGCCACTGTTGTTCCTTGGGAGTCAGCTACCGAGGTTGCCCGCTATCTGCAGGAGCTCCTCAAGAAGAAGTGTTGAGGATGGATGGCTCCAAAGAGGCTTGTTTACGATAAACAGCTGGGAAGGGAGAAGGCTGGAAGGTCATGTCCTGCACCCCGTGTTTATTTGGCACTGCTCACTTGGACTTTGATTCCTGCACTGTTTTCCTGCCTTCCTCTCCGAGCTCCTATCTCCCCAGTGATTGAAGCACTTTCTCTTCCCCACACATCCTTTTCTCTTCCTTCTGCCACATCGAGATGAAGTCTTCTCTATGCAGCTTAGATGGCTTCTCTGCTGTTGGTGGTTGGCAACACTAATGGTATGGTTTGTTTTTTTCCCTTTTTGACTTCATGAGAGCAGTTCTTTACCATCCAGAAGCCAGCTCTCCCACAGGCTGAGCCCAGCACGTGATTCCTCTTGACTTCACCCTTCTCACCTCCTGCCCATCTCCACTCTCCATGCAGGAGCCTCATGCTGTTGCCTTCAACCCAATGCTCCAAGGGCTCCTTGCCTCTCCAGGAAGCCACGAGAAATTAGGTCTGGGCAGTTTGTGCTGCCCAGGCTCCCCAGCTCACCATGCATCCCACTCCTTGCTCAACAGATGAGCCTCGCACAGGAATTTATTGTCCCTTCAGATTTATTTTCTGAAAAAAAAAAAATCATGAGAAATCAAGGAAGCCTTTTGGAAGGTTTGCAAAAATAAAAAGCAATCCTCCTTCAACTCCCATTGCCTTCACCCCATTTTTTTTTGGGGGGGAGGCAGAACGGCCGCATCCTGCTTGAGGAGAAAGACCTGACTTCACCTTCCTCTTCCTCCCCCATCACTTCCCCTCCTGGGGCAGCAGCCACCCACTCATCCCCAGTGCAGACAGCTCAGCTCCATGTCTTTGCTGGGTCATATCGACTGCCCTGCAACCTCCTGCCTTGGTCCAGAGGTGCTGAAATTCTCTCCCCCCTTTTCCCCCCAGCTGGAGAGAGAGGTGCTTTAGCACTTCTGATATCAGCTCCCCCAGAGGCCAAACCCTCTTACCCCACCACAGTGTTAATTGCCCATTCTAATTGCACTCTGTAAAAGGGGGCTTGCAGTATTTTACTCTCTGGTGTTGGCTTTTCCTGGATTTATCCACAGCCTTAAATGACCCCTGAGAGTGGCTTGTAACTACTCCAAAGCATAGAAATCCTGGCAACAAATCAGAGAGGTAAGGAAATAACCAAAGTAGCCCTGAGATGATCCTCCTTTATTTCATTTTTTTCTCCCTTTTCTTTGTTCTTCCTCTTCTGGACACTGTTCAACTGTGTGGAACTTAAAGCCATGGAATTAAAAAAAAAAAAAATACATATATATGTATATAGATATATATCTATATATTACAGATACACAAGTTCTTTGTATCCAGAACATAAACCTGAGTGTGAAACGCTCTGAGGTGCACGCACATGGTGTTTCTCTTCCTTGGGCTGCAGGAGGAGGCAGGCAGCCTTAGCAGCTGACCAGGGGGAGCAGCAGAGTGGGGTTGGGTTATAAGCAATGCTCTGCAGGTTGGGCTGAGCAGCCCCTTGGGTGCAGGATTTAGACCTGGCCTCCTTTCTCCCCATCCCAAGCAGCTGCAGATAGGGAGCAGTGGTTATTGCCCCAGAGCTGCTCTCCTCCTCATGCTTGTTTGTGATTTCTGAGCTTTGGTCTTTCTCTACCATCAGTTCTAGGGGTCCAGGAGCAGCATTAGGGCCAGCCCAAGGGATTTCAGAGCTTGCTGCTCTCCCAATTCCAGCATTTTGAGGGACAGGGGAGTTGCCTCAGTGCTAAACCTTCACAGCATCATCATCATCAGCGATTGCTGGTGTCATTAAAAAAAAAAAAGATAAAGGGTGGGAGAGGTGTGAGGAGCAGGCAGGGGGACACATGGGATGCAGGCAGCAGCATCTGGCATGGGGCCATGGTATGGCTGCAGCAATAGGGCCGAGCTGTGCAAAACAGCAGCTGTGCAAAGCCAAAAGCCAAAGTGGAGCCCTCGCCTCCTGCACGCGGCTGAGCTGGGTGGGCAACGAGGGGTTGGGGAGATCCTGGTGCTCAGAAGGGCTCCACGTAATTGCCAGGGAAGAAACCTGCCTCCTCGCCCATGATGCCTTCACACCATCCATCAGAGTACCTCCGTGTGACATAGATGACGGCCCCAGGCTCGAAGGAGAGCTCGTTGTCCTTCTGCCGTGTGTACGGGTAGAGGGTCAGCACTGTGTAAAAAGGGGGAGAGAGGCCCATGGAGCAGAGTGGAGACAGCTGAGATGGGCAGGAGGGAAGGGCTGAGCCTCTGCACTGCCCTATAGTGGGGCTGTCACATCCTCAGTGCTGTGATCACAGTCAGGACCAAAGAATCTGGTGGATCTCAGCAGATCTGACTCTGGAGCTGCTGTACCTTTGTCTAGGTAGCTCTGAGGGGCACAGGGGGTTTCCTCTACAGCTGCTGGTGGTGGTGGTGGTGGTGGGGTGAAATCCTCAAAGTTGGGCAACACTGGTGGTGGTGGCAGAGGTGGCTCAAGGTCATCGGGGACTGTAAAACAAATTCAGTGCTGGCCAAGTGGCTCCAGGTAGAATAGAGACCACGCACAGCATTTGTATTTGAAATGGGCACCCCAGCATCCCCAGACACTGCAGCACTCACCTGGAAGGCTGAAGTCTGGTGGGGGCACAGCCAGGTCCCCTGGTGGTGGTGGTGGGAGCAGATCCCCAGGGAGAGGTGGGGGTGGTGGGATGGTGGCTGCAGTTGGGGTGGGTGGTGGTCCTGGTGGGGGTGGAGGTGGGGGTGGTGCTGGGATGCCTTCCCCAGGGGCTCCTCCACTCGAGCTGGGGATTCAGTCAGGGAAAAGGTGGGGGGAGGGAGGAGAGGGACAAGCCAGGATCATGTCTTAGCCCTCCCACCTTCGAACACAGGTGTCTGCCCTGTGCTAGGACAGGGTGACACCCAGTGCTGTCACCATGAGCAGGCACCCCAGCATCTGCGTGCAAAACCATTTCCCCATTCTGTGCCTTAGTTTCCCTCCTGGAAACCATCTCCATCAAGTTCTTTTGCTCTAGAGATGCACAGTAAATTTCCTGCTCCCCAGAACCCCCATATTACTTATCAAAACCTCTCTGCAAACAGATGCAGTGGGGGTAACCACAGCTGCCCCACACCCACTAATCCCCCTCCCTGGGCATTCCAGACACCCCCCCCCCATGCCCAGGCTGGTACCTGACCGATGTCAGTGAGGAGGCAGATGAAGCTGCAGAGAGCTTTCCCTCGGGAATCACAGGAGGCTGGATGGGCTCAGGGACACGAGTGCTCCTCCTACCAACAGAGCAGGCACTGAGCCCACGCTGCCAGGTTGGATGGCTTGGCACGAGGACAGGGACAGGACACTGAGGGCAGCTGCATCAGGCAGCGCACCCATGGCTCTGTCCCTGCCATTGTCACCTGCTCAGTGACACCCAAGCCAGAAAGATTTCCTACTGCACATCACCCCAGAAGCCTCACCCCATGCTGCCTGCAGACTGTTGACTCTTGATCCCTTTCCGAGACAGCGTACCTGTGCGGGACAGCTGGGTGCTGTGGTCCTGCAGGCAGGAGAAGACACAGACATGTGACAAGCTCATTGTACCCCATGCCTACGATGCACCTGCAGTGTCCCCAAGGCATTTGCTGAACCCTTCTCAAAAGGATGGGGGGTGTGGGAAGCTGCCCCAGCTGATAGGAGCAGACATGAGTGCTGCTGTGTGACATTGCCACCGTGGGAACTGCAGTCCCAGCATCACCACTTCCCCTCCGACTCTATGGTGGTTTCACACTGTGCACGTGGCTCTGATGCTGCTGAAAACCCACAGGCGCCTTCCGGTGAGATGCAGCTTACAGGGGCAGTTTCAGTGCTGGAACAGCAGCTCAGCCCCAGCCTTGGCCAAGCAGCACTGTGTGCCTTTGTGGCACTGACAGTGTCCCATTCCCCTCCTGCCCCAAGATGAGTCCCGCTGGAACAAGTCCTGGAGTGGGCTTGGGGAAGTATGGATGGACCCCACTTCTCCATCCAGGAGGGATTTGTGCCCCCACCAGGTCACAGAAAGCCCACCTGAGCCCCCTCCTTCCCATGGGACACCCTCCAGACTGACCTTTATGCCGTGGCCAACGTCATCCAGGATGCTGAAGTTGAGGGGTTTCCTGTAGTAGGGCTCCAGGGTCGGTGGGTTGGGGGGGGATGTGATCTTCTGGTGGGATGGGAACCTCTTGCTGACAGTCAGAGCGCCGATCTCCCGGCGAGACACTTTCTCCTTGTGCATGTCAACACTCTGTAAAGATGGCAGGAAAGGCTTTAGGAAGCCTTCTGGTGTCAGAAAGAGGGTGAGTGGCTGCAGGGCTCTGCGTGAACATCCCCAGTTCTCCCAGGGGACAAGGCCAGTGTCCACCGAGGGGAGATTACAGCATCTGAGTCCTTGTGACTGCTGCAGGGTGGCTCCTTGAGGGCTTCAACAGAGGCTGCCATGGTCCCCAAACACCCAGACCAAGACAACCCCTCAAGAACAGTTTCCCACCCCTCAGTGGACTCATTCTTGAGCATGTTGGGTGACCAAGATGCTGCAGGGGCTGACAGGCCATTAAAACTACAGGGAAGGATGGTCTCCAGTCCCTATAAGCTGCTCAGTAACATTCCCCTTTTTTTGAGGCCAGCCCTTTCTCAGGGCCCAAACCCCACAGACCCATAACCAGGCAGTTGCTGAGGTCGGACCCACCTGAGCTACACAGCTAACATTGGCCTCCAGCTTTTGCAGCTCGGCTGCCTGCAGGTCCAGCAGCTGCAGGAAGGTGGTGGCCAAGCTGCTGACCTGGTAGGCAACACTGGCCAAAGATTGTGTGCTGAAAGCCATCGTCTCCTCCAAAGCCTTCCGCTTGTCGCTCGCCTGGAGGGTGAAACACAGCTGTGATGAGCTGGGAAGGCTGACAGCACACAGTGCTGCTGCTGCCATTCCCACACTGGGGTCACAAGGGAGCAAAGGGGTTTCCTTCTGCTTTCCAAATGCATCACAGTTCCTCCAGCTCAGGCAGTGGGACTCAGCGGTGCTCAGCACCGTCAGGGTGCGGTGGGACAAGCACAGAGGGGATCAGGAGGGTCTGTCTCAGCCCTCTTGCCAACAGCTGGGGAAGCAGTCTCAGTTCTCTGAATTGTTTTGCATGCTTCCCCTTCAGAGATGCAGCTGGGGGCTGTGAACCGGCCAGAAGCTGCAGCACAAGAAAACAACCCAGCCCTGGAGGATGCTTAACTGAGGCTGCAGCAACGCCTGGCTATGCGACAGGGAACGCAGGGTCACAGCCCCACATGGTGTGTGGGGGGTAAGACCATCACCACCCCCTCAGGTCTGCCATGGGGGAGTGAGACCAGCAAGGTAGGATCCTTAAAGCACCCAGGAGACCCCTGGTCAGAGCACTGTCCCCAGCAAATGGGGCCAAACCAACCCTTTTGCATTCCCTCAGCAGGTCACAAGGACAGGGGGGAGGAGGGCAGCACGGAGCCCAGTGCTCACCCTGTGCTGGGAGGGAGTGAGCACTGTGCAGCACCTCCCAAACCCTGAGCTGCCCATCCTCGCTCCCATCCAGCACCAAAACACCTGGAAGACCTCCCCCATATCCCCCAAGCCTGACGGCTGAGCAGAGGGGAAACTGAGGCACAAAAGAAGCGCTGAGAGCTCTCAGTGCTGGGCAGGAAATGAACGGGGACAGCAAAGCCTTCACCCTCACACCATCCTCCCCACCACCACAGCATCACAGATCCCCCCTCCCCCTCCATCCCAGCGACCCCCCCCCCAGCCCCACAGCCCACCTGCAGGTAGTTGCTCTCGCAGTACTCAGCCACACGCTGCAGGTTGCTGTGGTTGTCACGCAGGCCCTGCCGTGCTGTGGGGACATCGCAGGGCTGCAGCGGCTCCGCCATGGTGCTGGGACTGGAGCCCACTTCCTCCCCAGCCTCTCAGGCGCCGCGTTTTGAAGCTCGCGGCGATGCTGACGCAGTGCTCTGCGGATGCTCTGTGGGTTGTCACCTCTCCCAGCTCTCCGCCAGCTCTGCTGGCCCACAGCCCCACGAGGAGTGGGCTTGGCAAGCTGGGGGGCCACCATCTTGTCTGCCATAGCAATGGAAGCTTGGGGGCACGGAGTGGAACCTGAAAGCTGTTGGGGTGCTGTGAGCCCAGTCCCCCACCAAACTTGCCTTTCACATCCATACTAACCCCTCTCCCCCCTCCCCAAATTCAACCATCCCCATCAAGGGTTATGGGTTCTTCATGAGGCTGAAGGCAGCACGGCCCAGGGCAGGGAGGCACTTCCAGGACAATGCTGCAGTTTGGCTCCTAACAGCCCAAATTTGGCCACTTCTGGGCATTTTGGAGCTCCATCCTCTGACAGAGCCCGGTAGGCATGGGGCCAGGTTTGGCTCCGTTGCACCCAGTGAGGGGAATTCCCTTCCCTTTGCCTTTATGGGACTGGCAGGAGCAGACCTACCCCCAAGGTGGTTCATCACCAGCTCAGCTTCCCCAGACAGCCCCATGCCCCCACTTCACCCAGCTCAGCCATCAGTTTCTGCTTGCCTCTGTGTGCCGGGACAGCACAACCCTCCTTGTGCTTTGCTAATGGCCTTTCCCATCCCCATAGGACATTGCCAGAGGCCATGGCCAAGGGCAGGAAGCTCTCACTTCCCAGCACTGGGAGGGTCCCTTGTGCTGGGAATCCCCCTCCACCTCCTCCTCTTTGCGCTTCCTCGGGGCTTCCTGAACTCTGTCCTCAGCTTCAGTGTTTCACATGGGCCAAGCAAGAGCCAAATGCCTATCCTGAGATCCTGAGCCCACAGCAATTAGTGCAAGGATGAGGGAAATGATGAACCAACTCTGCTTCTCACACCCTCAATGGTCAAGAGCCACCCCAGCTGCCTCCTGGCCCCCTGCAGTCCCCTTACCCAAGCTCCCATCCTCTCCATTCCCTCCTATGGTGGAACCTGTTCCAGCTCCCATAGGGGATGCTCCCTTTGCTCCCCCAGCCAGGCCCCAGCCCTGCACAGGCTCAAACACAAACAGTGGGAGCTCAGGGGCTGTCAAATGCCCCACAAAGCACATCTCCACTCTTGCCCTTCCTCCCCCATCCTCACCCTCTCCCAGCCCTCCCCTACGGCCCCACCACTGATTACCCGGAGCTTTGAGGCTAATGCCCAACACCTGACCAGCTTATTCTTCTGAGTCTATTATCAGCTTAGGGACCAAAGACATCTGCTCCCTGCTACTGGCTGGGAGATTTGAAGGAGTCTTCAAACAGAAGAGTGCAGACACAGAGGACGGCAGCTCGATGGGTTTCTGAATACCTCCAGCACTGAGAGGGGCAGCCCCTCATCCACACAGGTAAGTGGCTTTGCTTCCTTCCCAATGCACAAAGGCATTGCAGTTGCTACCATCACCTCCATGGGTTGATAGCACAGCTGAGCTGCAGCTTTCATCTCCTTGGGACCCATCGTCCCCCATAAGCATTGATGAGGAGAGGAGTATTGGGCATGCGTGCCATGAAAACAGCCACACAAAACCTGCAGGGCCTGGGGAACAGAAGTTTGATGCCTTCCAAAGCAGGGACAAGACACATTGCTGCTTAATCACGTTCCTCTTTATGATTTAAGAGGTTGTCGCCAGGCTTTCAAGCTCAAGTTTTAATATGGGAGCAGCACAAGCCAACTCTCCAAATCTCTTTTATATCCCTTGGATGCACCTTTGTAAAAAAAAAAAACAGATGAGCTTTTCCAACTCACAGCATGGAATGTCTGTGAGCACGCAGAGGTGACAGCAATGAAGTGACACAATTCACTTACATGCAAGGGTGGCACAATGAGTGGAGGAGAAAACAAAGTGCCTGCGAAGCTGCTCCTGCCCAAGCAGAAAGGTGTAGTTGCAAAGACACATTAGGAAGGCATCATCTGCACCTATGCTGCTCTGCTCTGTTTAGGAGGTGCTGTATAGTTTGGTACATTCTTATCTGGGTCCTCCTAAGATGCTGCAAATCCAACAGCCCCGCAGTGCAAGTGGTTTTTCTGTGGGCTCAGCCAGCCCCATTGAATTGGCCACCTCTTGTCCTTGGGAAACAGCCTCTGCTGCACACAAAGATTGGGCTGGATCTTCCTCTGCTGGCTTCAAACTGCTGTTTTTGCTCGATTTGTCTGGGTGAGAACAAGCAAAGCAAAATTTGATTACTGCAGTTACACTGTGCTTTGAAAGGTGCCTGAAAGCTTCAGCTGAGAAGCTATCAGCATTTGCAATAGCATTAGGGCAAAAGCAAAAGCCCTAACGTACCCTAGGAGAAGCCTTACTACACTTCAAGCACGTGCCATCTCTGTTGGTTACAGGGCAGAATGGCTCAGGATATGACAGAGAAGGAACTGCTGAAAATGGAACTGGATCAGCTGAAGAAGGAGGTAAAGAACGAGAGGCAAATGGTGAGTATTGCCCCAAAATGCAAAATGGGGAGCAACCTTAGCACCACGACGATGCTGATGAGGCACCCCATCACATCCAAGGGCAGCTCTGTGCTTCCCTCTCCCAGAGGCTCAAATGGGTTTGTAGGCAGACGATGAGCAAGAGAGCAGCTCTGCAGTGACTGCTTGTTCCCATAACCCACACGAGGCGTCTCCTTCCTTCCTTCCTCCCTTGCAGGTCTCCAAGACCGGCAAAGAGCTGAAGGAGTACATTGAATCCATGGCAGGAGAGGATCCACTGCTGAAAGGTGTCCCTGAGGACAAGAACCCATTTAAGGAGAAGGGCGGCTGTACGATAAGCTGACATCCTTCCTCCTCCTGCACCGCCCTGCTTGGGCACAAAGCCATTCCCATACTCAAGCCAAGACTGTCAAAAACCTGCTTTCCCTATAGTCTGACCTCAGCACCAGGGAGGACCAAAATAAAGTGTAGTTGCATCTGAAGTAGCAGCAGGGGAAAAAAAAAAAAAAATAAGAGAAAAAAGAAAAAAAATGACCTCTGTGTTCCCAGAGATGAGGTGCAGCAGACGGAGCAGAGCGTGTTTGTGTGCTCCCATCACTGATTTACGGTTGGTTTCCAGCAAGCAAAAGTTCTGTGTTTTCAGCAGGCAGCAGCAAAGTGGGTTTTAATGGCACAGGTAGGGCTAGGAATGGGTACAGCCGTTACCTGCTGGTATGGGGGGGTGTAGGGCTGTATTGAAACACGTAGGGCTGTCACCTGGACTCCAACCCCAGGCAGCCCAGCAGCAGTGTGGGCTCCAAAGCCCTGAGCTGAGCCCTCCATCCCCACTCGCTGCAAAGAAGCATCCCGGTGGGACCTGGCTCACGTTATCGCCTATCAGTGCCTCAATTCCCCATCTGGCACAGGCAGACAAACACGCTCTGATGCTCCCAGGGGTCTGAAGCTTTCATCTCCTCGCTCGTAACTCCGTCCATCGCTCACAGATCGCACCTCCCACCCGCAATGCGTCTACAGGACCTGGGGGGGGAGGGGGGGGGGTTCAAACAACCCAAACGGGGCACGGGAACGAGCAAAGCCTCCATCAAAACCATCAGCCTGCCTCCGGGTCTTCCTCGGGAAACCCTCCGACAACCACAAGAGATCAAAGGCCGGAGGTTTACGAGTCCGGATCCGCTCCAAGCACCGCCTCGGCTTCACCGTCCGCTCCGTACAACCGGGGAAGGGCGGACCGCCTCCGTGAAGGCAGAGGTGCTGCAAAGCCCCGTCCCGCAACGCGTCACCATCGATAAGGACCGACTGGGAGCCGGCAGCTCAGCTTGGAGGCGGCACAAAAAGCGGGGCAGATGGAGGCGGCGATGGCTGCGCAGGGATGGGGTCGATGGGATGCGGGAGCCCGTAAAAGAAAAGGGGGGGGGAAATAAAGGTTTTGTTCTTCCTCTCGCGGAAATACTGAATAAATCCACTCCGTTCCATACGCGGTCTCTGCCTCTCTCGTGCCCGCATTCCCGTGCCAAAAGCATCACCTCGGGGCCAACACCGGCCGTCCCCACCGCTAATCCCGGCGGAGGTCCCATAGATCTCCGCCATCCCTGAGCTCAGCTCGCTTAATCCCGGCTAAACGCCGCACCGCCTCCAGCCCGCCCCGTTCTGAACGGCCGCAGCCGCAGCTCAGCGCTTATCAACGAACCCCGCGACAGCTCCGACCGCAGAGGGAGGGGGGGGAAGCTCTCAGCCAATAGCAGCGCGGGAAATCGTGAGTGTCGCCCCGCGCGTCCAATCGGAGCCAACTCCTGGATTAACTCCCGCCCTCCTTTAGCACCGCCCCCGCCGCTCTTCTCGCGCA